CATGCCAGATGAGTTAGCCAGAAAGCAGGAGGGACGGGCACACGAGACAGAGGGAGGTTATGCACGTATGCAGAAGCGTGACGCAGCCCTGTGCAGGCGGCTGTCAGCGTAGCTCAAGGCCATGGTCGGAGGAGGTGCAGGAAGAGATGAGGCTTACGGGTGGGCGGGCCCCGCCTGTTCGTGGAGACCTCAGATGCCAGGCTGTGGGGCTTAGGCCTTGTCGTGAGGCCAGTGAAGAGTACAAAAAAAAAACCCACAAAAGAAGTGTTTTCTCTCCCAAAAGAAGCCTGTTAAAGGGAGCATCGATAGGTGGGAACCATTTGATAGACTTTCTAGTGTCTCAGTACGTTTTTGAGCCAGGCTTTATCAGAGAACCTGAGGTCCTAAGTTCCAGACAGAATAGGAGACCTCAGGAGAAGGTGAATGGCTTTTATATTCCTGTGGGTTTGGGGCCCGAATCAAGGGTACATGTGTTGAGATTCTGGTATTAATAGAAAAAAAATCAAAGTCCCTTTCTTTTAGAGAGATATACTAAAATGCTTGCAGATTAAATGTTACATCTTTCTGGATTTAATTTCAGAATAATCATAGGGCAGAGTGCAGGGTGTAAGTGAAGCAGAATGGGCCATGAGTTAAATACTTGTTGTAAGTAGCTCATGGGTTTATTATATAATTCTCTCCACATTTCTCTGTGTGCATTTGGTATATTCTGTAATGAAAAATTTTAAAGAGAAAGAAAAGGAAGGAAATGCCAGCGCTCACCTAATTAAAAGCCCGTCCTGTAAGATTTTTATTTTTCATGGGGTCACGTATGTCATTTTATTCAGATATTAATGCTCCTTTCAGGGCTGGTCTAAGGATTAGTAAGTTTATCTTGCCCAGAAGTTAATGATTAGTCCTGTTTAATTTATGCCTCTCTGTTTACAGGATCTGAAAAAGCCTTTTGATAAAGCTTGGAAGGACTATGAAACAAAAATGTGAGTGCTTTCATTTTAAAAAATAAGTGTAGGTAATTTGAGATTTGAATTTTAAATGGAGCTTTTATTGTGTTAAAGTATTGTCTAAATAAACCTTAATCCAGGAAAGAATTCACCCCAGACTGTGTTGCTGTGGTTTGTTACGATGCCAGGTGCTTTCACACCCGGTGTGATGTAAACCTCTTTAACAGGGCTTTCGCCTCGTTCCTCCTGTTCTTAGAGGATGGCTACAGAGTGTTGCGTTCAGGAAGGCTGATTGACTGCCGTGGGCTGACGTCAGGCGGTTGTTGTAACGTTTCTGATCACAGCTTCTCATTTCTAGAATGGAGAGGATCGAGCTGGCTAGAATTGGGCTAGCGACCGTGGAGACAGTGGTTTCAATTATTTTAAATGTGTGAGAAATAGAAAATATTTTTAAATGCCTCGTGTTTGCTATGTAATTGTTGTACACTGGGTAATAATGTAGAGTCTTCTGAGTGGAAATAGAAACCTTTCTATGAATCCATCTGGTAAAGTTAGAATTGTTAAGAAGAAAGCGTTTTCAGACATAACAAGTATTTCACTGGGTTTGTTTTTACCAGCCATGGGTATCTGTTCCGAGTGGTGAAGGATCACAGGGCTCAAACCAAGGAACACGAGACCTCTGGGACTCATCCCTTCCTGGGAATCTTAAGTTCCCATACTCCAAATTCTGGAGTTCCACCAAGGGCCGACCTTTGTATATAAGCATAGGTAGAGTGTTAACCCAGAATACTTCGAAGGTCTGCTCAGCCCGAAGAGGCTCCAGACTTGCTGCCCCTGGCCGGCTAGCGTTCCGCACCCGCGCCAGTTCAGTGCAGTAAATGAGGAAAGGGTCCGCGTTCCTGCGTTACAGGTGGGAAACCTTGGCGTTTTGCCGCTGGTCAGCCGTGAGAGACTGGCTGAGCCAAGGCCTGGCCATGGGTCTGCTGGCTTCATTCAGCCACTGTCGCTGCCACCCTCAAGGCCTTAGGGGAAATGCTTCTGTGTGTTTCTGAACCAACGAGAGGGTTTCTAAAGAGGATTTTGGTTCTGAAAGGAAAAGGTTTGAAGGGGAATGAGATCAAGTTCTGTAAAATCAAGACACACATAAATACAGTGGGGACAGAATTACTCACAAAATCCCAGAATCTGAGACCCAAAGAGCAGCACCATTTAAAACTCAAAAGTAATTCTGGGATAAAAATTACAAAGTAACTCTACCCATTAATATGTGATATTGATTTGTCCGGAGAGGCCCTGGACATGTAGCAGACAGGTTTAAGACATATTTAAAATTCCTGGCCTGGAGTCCTATACCTGAGCATTATGAGAGTGACCGATGTCTGGCCGTGTCTTGATCCCTTTGAGGGGGTGGCGGGGGAGCCTTGGAGTTGTGTGGTTGTCCCCAGGACCTCAGGGGCCTCCAGTCACACTCCCCACATCCCCCTCTGTGCATGAAGCCATTTAACAACATCCCCACCAAATGGTCACCTATTTTTAATGTTCTCACTCACCCACCCGTTCAAGTTGTGGAGCATCTACTGTTGCCCAGTGCTGTGCTTCAAGATACAAAACAAGGATCAGAAACTAGATTTCTTGCCTCTTCTTAAATACCCCCTTCCCAAGTGATGGGGCCGCTGGCCCCAAAGTAACCCATTTCTTAGAAAGTTGTTCAGCTTTCTAGGAAATGCTGCCTTACGTTATGCAATGTCTGCCCTCAGGCACGTCAGGGAAGTCTGCTCCCTTCTCTTCGGGCAACCTTCATGTTTTTGAGTGCTTTCTGTGGCTTTTATTTAGTCTTCTTTTCTCCAAAATAGAAACCCAGTTACAAGTTCAAGCCCTTCTTACCTGATGTGATTCATGGCTGCCTCTCGCCCTGGTCACATGTCTCGTGATGTGTACCAGGGTCGGCTCGCACCCTGCCCCACACACTTGACTAACAGTTGAGCATAAGATAAACACGGAAAGGGGGACAAAGCTTGCAAACAGAAAATGTCACTTGTCTCATTCTGCAGGATGAGCCCTGTCTGAGTCATGTCATCGCTAGCGAGGAGGAGACTGCTTGAAGAGGGGTGGGGAGGGTGCTGGAGGAGAACCAGGAGGTCGGGCTGCCCCTGGCCGCCCTGCGGGCACTCAGACCAGAGTGCTGTCCCTGAAGGAAACCTCAGGGGCACAACCTCCTTTGACCCAGGCCAGGCCCAGCGTAGGTGCTTTGGAAGCATTTGATGAGTAGATACGCCACAAAAAGGGCCAAGATTGGCATTTTCCTCTCCAGTGGGTTAGAGGCCATCCGGCAAGCACTTGTCTCCAGGCCGGGGGCTGGGATCACGGCGAGACCGTGCTGTCCGGAGGTGTCTTGAGGTCTTCTTGCTTCTTTCCCATGTAGAACCAAGATAGAGAAGGAGAAGAAGGAGCACGCCAAGCTGCACGGGATGATCCGCACGGAGATAAGCGGGGCCGAGATCGCGGAGGAGATGGAGAAGGAGCGCCGGTTCTTCCAGCTGCAGATGTGCGAGGTGGGCCGCCTGCCCCGGGGCTGCCGAGGGAACACCAAACGCCTCACTGCAAGCTAGCTAGACTACTCCCCCCTTAGGTGGTTTTTGATGAGGGGTGTGGGTTCCCTTGTACCAGCGGAATCCGAGCCGGGAGGGGCAGTGAGACGTCAGCTGTGGTCCCGCCACTGAGAGCCTTGAGAGCTGGTTCTGGGAAGCCAAGCCACCTGCCCCTGGAAGTGCTGCCACACCAGTTCCACCTGCTCACAGTCGGAATGCTCATCAAGCCAGAGGCCCAGGTGCCCAGGGGAGGCCCTCTGTGCACTCCACCTGCAGCCTGAGGCCTTGCCTTGGGGAGGGGAAGATGGCAGAAACTCAAAACGTTTCTCTACTGGAGGCTTAGGGATGGAAAGCATCGAAGGCCAGTGATGCAGGCCTCTGCTTCCAGCCCTTTTCCGCCTTGCTTGTGAGTCTGTAGAAACAGCTTGTGGAAGCAGTTCCCCACCTCTGCCTGAGAGCTCGCTCCTCCTGGCTGTGACGGCAAAGCCCCTTGTGCACAGTGGCATCTGTTTCCCCCCGTGGCTGCGCAGACTTGTGTCCTAAGTGTACACGATGCAGGGCGCTATTTGTGACATGTGCTGAGACCGCGTTCGGCCGGCTCTTGAGTCCCTGTAAGCGTCAACAGCGAAGCTAATTGTAAAGCACCTTCTGATTTTGGAATGTTTGTTAATTTGTTAATTATAGCAGGAGCTTAGTCTTTATAGATGCGTATCTTAGGAGTGTATTTAAATCAGTTTTTATTTTCAGAGCAAACCCTAAGCAATAAGCAGAGAGTCAGTCCCAGGGTCTAGGCTCTCATATTTGTCTAACTGGACAGCCGCTCCCACTCTCTTATGGTTTCTGTTTGCATGGGATTTCCCGCCAGCCTTTTACTTTCAGCCTTTGTGTATCTTTGGATCTAAAGTGTGTATTTCCTGTAGACAATCTGTATTTGGGTCAGGTTTTTTTAAATCTAGTCTGACAACCTCTGCCTTTTGATGGGATTGTTAAATCATCCACATTGGTTGTTAGTATTGATGTGGTTGGATTTATGTCTTTTCTTTTGGTGTTTTTTTCATGTCTTACGTCTTTTTTGTTCCTCTGTCCCTCCTTTGCTGCTTTGTTTTTCATTACATGGATATTTAGAAAGTTAATTAAGCTCAAAGAGATAGGAGAGTGGATGTTTTTATACAAATGCTGTTTTAGAGACAGACTCACATAAAATACCTGCCCTGGCCTGTTTCACGCAGTGTCGGAGAAGCCAGCCCGGAAGCAGGAGGCAGGGACAAGGAGGCCGCTGTGTGTTACACAAACACAGCGTGTTGGTTTTGTTCAGTCGGGGTAAAATTAAGTAGTAGTGTTTCACAGAGAGTGGGTTTAGAAAGCGTGTGTGTGTGAGTTCAGGCTGTGCTCTCTTTTGGGCTAATAAGGAGGGAGTCTGTTGACCTAAACTCTACAGCACTGGTTGTTGGGCCCCAGTCTGTGCCGAGCATCACGGGTCCCTGCCCCTGCAGAGCTGCCGGCCAGTGGGTCAGGCGCTGAGTGCAGGCGCGGAAGCAGGGGTGGGGTGGGCCGGTGGTGGGGGTGGAGTTCCCAGAGGAGGGCCCGTCTGATGAAGGATGTAGACGTTGGCCAAACAGACCTGGGCTGGAGAGGGCGAGAGGGAGCATCTGAAAAGCAGATCCCGAGAACCTCACGCCCTGGAGTGAACAGATGGTCGTGGTTAAAATCACTAAATTGTCCAACTGTTTGCCCAAACTGAAGTTCTCAAGTTTTGTAAATACTTGATGTTGTTTAGGTGTTTAAGTTTTCAGTTGCCTAGTATCTAATATAGAAAAGCGACTTTCAGGTGTTTATTTTAAAGCTGTGGGACTTCTTCTTCAAAAGGAATTTTGCAGAGAACTTCGGTATGCCAAATAGTAATACAGAGCTTTTGTGAATCGAGAAGGTATGAGAGACCTGCTCTTGCTTTTTTATGATTATAAAAATATGTGCTTTAAAAAATTGGTCAGTATATATGTGTGTGTGTGCATGTGTGTATGTATGTGCTTACATATAAAAGACATTAAAAGTCACCCCAAATTATACTTACTGAAAGATGACCGCTTTGCCCTATAGTTCAGCGTCTTTCAGGTGTCCCTAGTCTGCATAAACAAAAACAGTTGTAGAACCAGGGTCACCTGCTGCTGCTGTCTCGTAGCCTGATCATTTTACTCACTGCTGTGCCCCAGACTTCTTCCGTGTCCAGAAAGTCTCTGCTTTGGCGGCCTAATGGCCGCATGGCATTTTTTTGTATGGGTGCCCCGTACTTTAATTCCCTATTCATTCCGTTTGGGTTGTTGCCATTTTTCACTTTTACAAACAGCTCTGCAGTGAACCTCCTTTTCTATTCATCTTTGTAAATGTTTGTGATTATCTTCTTAGGATAAGTTCCGGTAAGTAGAATTTCTAGGTCAAAGGGTATGTGCATTTTAATGTTTGACGCATGGCCAAGCATCTTATTAACCATTTAACTATTTTGATACTTTACCAAACATCTTACTCAGTTAATGAATTAGTACCAAAAAGGAGGGCGATGATGACAGAAAGGCAACTGATATAGGCCGGGGGAGAGCTTGTCGTGGCCTCTTCAGAGCAGCTTCCCTCCCAGGCCTGGGCTGCCCAGCCCGCCCGGGAGGACCTTGAGTGTGAGTCTGCCAGGTGACAGCGGAGATGCCTGTGGTCAGCGGAGGTCCGCAGCTCTTTCGGGGCATTCGGTCCTTGGGGTGACATGTTCTCAGGGTTGTTTATACCCTGTCCCAACAGTGGAGGGGAGAGGGAATTTATGAAGTCTGTGTTCTGTGTCGTCTTTTAGCAAAGAACAAATGTATTTCCTGATGCTTGTTTTGTGGGTCCCTGGGGCTTCCTGATGCCTTAGTGGTTGTTAATGAATTCTCCAAGTTAAAAATGGCTTTCATTTATTTGAATTTAAAATATGATTTTTTATGGCAATCACAACTTTTTTAAGTGTCTTAGTACGAGACACATGGAGCAAAGTCTCAACTACAAAAGATTAGCAGTTAGTGTTTAGACAATGACCTGTTGAAAGAAAGGGACCTGGGACAGAATATGCAGGCAGGAATGTTCATGGTGGTTAGAAACCCCTTGATCCTAACCACCCTCCGTCTTCTGTGCAGCTACGGTGATAGTTTCTCCTCACTGGGTGAGACAGAATGTTTTATTACTAGGAGTCCTGGGTGCTTGAAGTTAAGCGTTTAATTACCTGTATGTCAAATAATTCATACGGCACGAAAGCTAAAAGAAACATTTAGGCAAATGGTGTTTAGAAAATATTAAGCACCTGCCATAGCTCTACCCAGTACAAAGTGTCGGAGAAGTGGGAGAGGTGATCTGTCCTCAGAAGCTCATATTCTGCTTGTTATCTGTGACATTTCTTGTTTTTTTTTTAACAGTATCTGCTGAAGGTCAATGAAATTAAGATTAAAAAGGGAGTGGATTTACTTCAGAATCTGATCAAATATTTTCATGCCCAATGCAAGTAAGTTATGATGTTATTTCTTTGTTACAATGTTATTTCAGATGTTTCTCTCTTTATGGCAACCTCTGGGAGATCTGTAGTATCGTGCTGAAAGTAAACACTTACTTAGAATCCGTAGGAAAAGGAATGAAACAGGGATACGTGCTATATAACATGGATGAACCTTGGAAACATGTTAACTGAAAGAAGCCAGAAACCAAAGGCCACAGACTGGAGGATTCCAGTTAATCGAAAGGTCAGGAACAGGCAGATCCACAGAGACAGAAAGCAGAGGAGTAGGGAGGGCGAATTACTGCTGAAATGGAAATATTCTGGAATTAGACAGGGCTGATGATAACCCAACTGTGTGAATATGCTAAAAAGCACTGGATTGTGCACTTTTAAAGGGTGAGTCTTATGGTTTGAGAGTATCTCGAAAACTAAAAGTAATATAAAAATCTAATTATCAAATATATTTATTTTTGCTTTTTTTAATAAAAAGGCAAACTGGTTTGATTCTCAGATGTTTTTTATTTGTTAAAAGGGGAATGGGATGGTGTTAATGCAGTGTCTTAAATTAAAAGAGCAGGGAGGGTATAACTCAGTGGTAGAGTGTGCACTTAGCATGCATGAGGTCCTGGGTTCAATCCCTGGTACCTCCATCAAAATAAGTAAATAAACCTAATTACCCCCCCAAAAATAAAAAATAAATAAATAAAAAGAATACTTCCATATATACTTACCCTGTAAAGCAAATGACAGTGCTGAGCAAAAGGGGCTGTACGTGGAACAGAAGGAGAAACTTCCACGTTCGGGGCTGTTCAGGTACTCAACTTCGCTGTGTCCGCCAGCCCCTCACAACCTGGGCCTCATCCCTTGGCCTGATTGCCTTTCTACTCCCCTCCTCCTTCTGCTCCCAGACCCCCAGGTGCTACTAGAAACAGGCCGCGGACTCATTCACTGCCTTTGTTGAGAGCGTGCTGGGTGTCAGGCACCGTCCTGGATACTGGAGACCCGGTGATGTACGTCACGGGCACAGTTCCTGCTGGAATCAAGCGGGGCTTCGGCCGGCACGCTTACCATCAGACGTTTGACAAAGCGTCCCGGAGCAGAGGAGTCTAATGAAGAGTATAAAATAGAAGGACCAAATTTAGATAGAGGTTGAGGGCAGAGATATTTTTCTTTTTTCTGTTTTGTTCCTTGCTGGGTTTTCTGGCAGCCAGAACAAAGTACCTGGCGCGCGGTTGGTACTCAGTTCTTGAATCAGCTGCAGGCCTCTTGGAGGAGACGTATTCTGAGACCTGAAGGATGCGGAGGAGCTAGCAGATAAGGAGCAGGGGAAGAGCTTTCCAGGCAGGCAGGGTTGAGGCAGGAAGAAGGTCATTGTGATGGACACATGGTGAGCAAAATGAAACTGCATGGAAAAGCCTGAGACATGGGCGGCCTTGGAAGTCTCATTAAAGGCGGTAGATTTTATCCAAGACGTGTTGGGAAGCCCCCGAAAAGTTTTAAGTGGAGGATGCATTCAGCCAGTGCTGATGGAGCTCTTACCACACACCGGGTGCCGTGTGACGTTCCGGTGATACAGGAAGAAGGAAACCAAGTTCCTGCAGGCTGGGACCTTCAGCAGGGACGGGAGGCAGATGCAGGCCTGTGCGTGAGAGTGTGACCGAACCAGGGAGTGGCTGTGCGTGGGCAGCGGTGCTGATGGGAAACATCAGGAAGCCCCTCCCATCCCATCTCCGTCTTAACAGGGCTGCTCTGTGTCTGGAAGGAGCCACACAGGACAGGAGTGGGTGTGTGATCACTCAGGGACGCGGGTGCAGTCCTAGCGCAGCTGGAGATGTGACCGGGCCCAGGCTCTGACTGCACAGGTGGAGGGCATGGGGTGATGTGGGCACTCTGGAGGTGCTGGTGCCACCTGTGTCCCCCTGCCTTGCCTTCAACAGGCCATGCCTCGTGCTGATGTTCCCTCACACACTTTGTTCCTTTTGCCTTGAACGTGACCGTGCCTTCCCACAGCCTTTGTCCCTCCCTGAGACCCAGCTCAGGTCCAGCTGCTGCTCTGAAGTCGAGTTGCTCTCCCCGTGGAGTTACTTCCCTTTCTTCTTCTTACCACTGTATTCTCTACACATCCCGCGATGGCATCTTTCATGTTGTGTTGTGTCTCCCGCTGAACTGCATCCTCTTTAAGGATGTCCTCCATGACATTTATTTTTTAGTCTCTAGCACATGGCGTGTTTACCTGGCACGTATTTGCAGTGGTGAATTGCACTGTTGAATTGGACGGAGCTGTGCTTTGCAAGTCTTAATACATCTCTGGCGACACTGCATTTCTAAAGCAGTGGCAATCCAACAGCAAAGGAAGATGTGCTGGGTTAAAAGAAGAGCCCCACGCTTGGGAGAACAGTCTCAGGGAATAGAAAGACCCCTCATTTGTCGAATTTTTAAGGTGAATTCTTCTGCAGAGACTCCAAATCCTAACTGTGTGATTAACACACAGATTCCTTCTTCAGTCTTACCCTTGTAGCTTTATGTGAGGCCGTTTAGGAAGCGGGTTGCTTCCTTGCTGATATTTTATTTTTAAGAAGTTATTCTGGGATTTCCTTTTTTTCTTTATTTTGCCCAAACTGATTTGTTGGGTAGCAACAGACCACTTGTGGAAAAGTGAACTTAGTTGGCCTTTTATGGGCATGAGCTCAGTAACCTTTAAAAATGATGAATCTTCCATTACTTCCTTTTTGGATGAGTTTGCATGTGTGCGTACGTACTGCAGGCTCTTCAAATCATTTGAACAGCTTTGACTTTTAAGTGCACATTTTGGAGGATAGAATGTGGAGCCTGAGTGATTCAGCCATTGGACAAGGAGCCCGTGGCCATGCGTGTGTTTAACCACCTGCAGGCCCTGCGCGTCCCCACTTAGCATCCTCAGTCTCCACTTCTCGCCCTGGAAGCACAGCTGTGACCTGGCGACGGTGGCCCAGGGGGCAGAGGCTGCCTGCTGACCGGTGCTGCTGGTCTCTGCAGGTTTCCACCAAGGGGCCTCCGTGGAAACCAGATTCTGTGGAACCATGTTTGGGTGTTCACGCTTAGAACTGCTTAGATAGACATTATTTTGCTTTTGACTCCTTTTTGCTTTTCACTGGAGACATTCTTGAAGAGTACCTCATGTTCTATGTCTTACTTCTTTCAAGGAAAGAATTGGCGTCTCTAGTTCCTGGAATAGCCTGGAAAATGTATCTTACTAGCCTTTGCTGCGGAAGATTGAGGACCCTATTCTCCAGTGAAACCTAGAAATAGAGCAGTCTTTAAAACAATAATAAAACAAAAGCGATTTTCTACACAGTGGTAATGAGTGTTGAAGTGACTTGTTCTTTAATGAGAAGATACCTGCTGGGAACCACTGTGACCAGCTGCTGCCTGGAGCTTGGGATGCGGGTCCAGCGCCCTGGAGAAGTTCGCCCCCGTGGCCTTCACGGTGGGGCTGTTGTGCAGGCTTGTCAGGAGGAGGGAGAGGCCGCCCTGCTTGGTGGGCACTTGAAGGTTGAATCTCAGTGGGTATGTTTTAAAGGCTGGAGAATTTGATTAGGTAGGCTAGAAAACATTTGATAAAAAGCAAAATTTGATATTTGGGAATACTGATGGTAAATCTTATTTTGACTGAAGCTTGAGAAAGTGTTAACAAGCTCAACCTTAGGAAAATGTGCTAGGAGTTTGTCCTGAGGAACGTTGCGGTGACAGCAGTCCGCGAAGGGGCCCCTTCTTTGGAGGCTTTTCCTAAGGCCAGAGAAGGTCTACAAACACGCCTCAGTAAGGAGGGCGCAGGAAGACAGGAGTTTTGAAAATCAGAGGGAGGACGTTTTTTAGGTAGATGGTCAAGATTGACTAGACTTTTACAAAAATGAAATCCAACATCTTTTATCTTTATTCCAAACACACCGGCCAGTGTCACAATGGAAACGACCTCTGTGACAAGAAACACCTCTCTGAGCACCTGACTTCACTGCAAGACGCTGTCTTGCTTGGGTGGGGGGTGGGGGCAGTTTCCAGGCACAGAGATCCTGGAGCTGAGCACCTGCTTCCTTTCCCAGGAGCAGGGCCGCTTCTCTGCTGATCTTTGCTATTTTTCCTACTCCCTCTTCTGTGTTCTTTCCCCACCCCCAACCCCTATCTATATTACAAGAATTTGAATTGATTGATAAAGTAGTTGTAAAAGAAAAAAATACAGGAACAAAACATAGGAACCAACTGAGTTCATGATAAGAGGAAAAGCTCGATTTCTCATTCCTGTGTTTGTTCTTCGCAGTTTCCTTTTCAGTTTAAAATTGCTGCTGCGTGTTGGCCATTGTGCTGGAGAGTGGAAAACACGGAGACGCGTAGGACATGGCATTTCTGCCCGAACGGTGGAGACAGACATGTGAAAATGTCATTATAATGCTGACCTACTGCTGTACCAGAACATATACGTAGGGGGAAAAATGAGCCAGGCAAAACACAGGAATGAGAATATAAAGTGAAAATTACACGTACATCTGAAGGCCAGAAATTCTAATGGCCCAGCCTCTGTGATTCCTAATAACTAAGTAGGAATGGTTTGTGACCCACATCCTGTGTGTGTGTTTTCTCCTTCCTCCTTGGAGGTACTGTGCTAGCTGTCACACTGCATTGGTTTTCCAGCCCCTCCTATTTATTGCATACTTAATATGGGAAATTCCCCCAGGATTGTTGCTGAGTTTAAAAGAAGTAAACCTGTGAACCCCAGATCATTTTCTGAAAATAGTCTCCTTTGATACCCAGTAAACTGGCAGAAGTTGGAGACTGCCCTTCCTCCCTTCATTAATTTTTCCATTCAGTGAATATTGTGTGCTCGAAATGTGCCAGGTGTTGTGGATACTGTGACCTTACCTTCCTAGAACTTAAGACCTACTGAGGGAATTATGTTTTAAATAATTACAGCACTGAATACGTAATGGCAGTTGTGGTGAGTGTTTTGAAGCCAGAGACAGAATGCTGTGAGGAAATCTGGCAAGGAAACCTCTTTGAAGGGAGGAGGGTCGTGGCATAGCCCCTGATGAGTCCCTATGTAACTTAAAACTTAAAGCTGGAGGAGTGAGTGGTCACGAGCCAGGCAACATAGTTGGTAGGCTACGAGGAGAACTCTTCAGAGGGAAGAAACAGCATGTGCAAAGGCCCTGAGGCAAGGAGGATTTGGTGGCCATAGAGGAACAGAGAAAAGGCCAGTGTATCTGGAACCAAATGAATAAAGGGGGCAAATGGTGTGGATTGAAACTTGGAGACACAGGCAGGGGCCAAACCATACAGGCATTATGGGTCTTGTTACAAGCCTCCTAAGCTGGGTAGGAGCATTTTCTTCATTCCTTTCAAAAGGGTTATACACAACACGCTTCAGAGGAGTGCTGAACGTCAGCCCGCTGTTGCTGCAGGAAAGACACATCTAGCCTCTGTTGAATTTCCTGAGCCATTTGTTATCAATGACTTCACAAGCAGAGTTCTGAGCATTAAAAATAAAAAGCTCCTTTTGATATTCAGTCTCAACCGCATCTCCCCACTCTGCTCATGGGGCGGGGCCATTCGTGTGCATCAGGCTGGCTTGCTTTCCTCCTGCATTCTTGCCCTTTTCCACGGAACTGTCACCTGGCAAGGAAAATACTGTCTTGTTTTTGTGTGCACCCCATGCTTTCCTGGCCACAGGCTCTTCCGCTCCTAACCAGAACCTTTGCTGCCATTTGTCAGTAGGGTCCTGTCTCCCATTATAAATGGAAAATTTAGGGCTTATTTTATATGAGTCAAGAAAAATCACAAATACTAGGCTTCTTCCAGGTCCTTCTCAGTTTGCTTCTCATAGTTTTGAGTGTCACTTTACTCTTGGGTTGCCTAATATTTTAAGACTTGGTTCCTAGTCTTTTCCCCCAGGAATTACATAATAATCTCAGTCATTTCTTTTAAAGAAGATTTTTTCTCCATCTAACAAAATTGTTTTCTCTTTTATGAAAGACAATTATCTATGTTTCTTCTTTTTCCTTCTAGTTTTTTCCAGGATGGACTGAAAGCAGTTGAAAGCCTCAAACCTTCCATTGAAACACTTTCAACAGATCTTCACACAGTAAGTACTTTCCCTCCCACGTGAGTGTTGAAATGGTTTTTATGCAGCAAACTCTCTGACTTAAATGTTGCTTCTGTGTAATCTTGTGTTTGCATGCTGGCTACCCAGAAAGCGACAGCCCCGCAGAGCCCCGCTCCACCCTCAGTCCTGGTTGGGGGAAGGTTGGACCAGTGTCGGAGGTGTTCATTGCGTTTTGGGGGAAATGCGCTGTGAACTCCAGCATCTCACTGTACCTTGGTCGTACTTTTCTCTGTTTTGTGTTTTCCAAGATCAAACAGGCCCAAGATGAAGAAAGAAGGCAGTTGATACAGCTTCGAGATATTTTAAAATCAGCATTGCAGGTTGAACAGAAAGAGGTGAGGGGATTTAATTTTGAAGGACTGCTAATCTTGTATTTTCACCCCTAAGTCTCCGGGGCTCTGGGGCTGAGGAGGTGAGATCTTGGTCTTCCAGGTGCTCAGGTCACTCGCAACGCTGAGACATTTAGTTTTGTTCTTTAAGTCGGTTTTATAAAGCCATCTTTTTAAATATGCTAACCTCACTATAACTCAATAACTCAATAAATAAATAAATAATAAAGTTTAAAAAAGATACATGCTAACCTCACGGGGAAAGCATCACCATTGACGTGGCCTTACAGCAGCATTTTAACCTTTTCTGCTCCGCCCATTGCCACTAGACAAGCAGCCCTTGGCATCTCTGTCACATGGACAGTCGTCATTCGTGCCATCAGTTCTCTCCCTGGAGCCCTGTGGTCTCCCTGCCCTGATACACATGGACGCTGCCATGTGGCATCAGCGGGTGACAGGTGACCATCTGAATCTTCCCGCCCAGAGATTGTATTCTGTAAAGCGGGAGGAGCTAGGTTTCCTTGGAGCTGCATTCTGATGGGAAGAAACCCTAGTGTTCTTGCATCTTCTCTTCCCTGTGATCACCTGTCTGTGTGCTAACACATTCACAGTGATAATTTGTCTTTTGGGAGCTCATTATAAAAAACCATTCAAAATTAAATTTTAAGGTAATTTGATATGTTTGTTACAGTGAGGATATTATAATGTGAAATTTAACATAAATCCACTTCGTTGTCAATAAAGAAATATGTCTAAATGTATATAGCTAGTAGCTTTTAGATCAATAACTATTAAACTACCGAGCAGAGCATCAGGTTCACTGTTGGAAGTTGGGTATGCTGTATTTTAAGTTCTTGTACTATAACTGAATATTGTTGTTTTTCTCCCAAATGCATTTACCTTTTGTGACCGAAGTCTAGGAGAGTAAGTAGTTCAGTATTTTAATAAATTATAGAAATTTGCATGCTTTTTTCATGAACTTCAAAAAAACCGATATTCTTTCCATGTCTATATTAATGGCTAGTAGTGTTTTTAATGTTTACCCTTCCTCTTTCAGTAGCAGTGGGTTTTATTAAAGGCTCAAGAATTTGAATGCATAAATATTAGTGAAATGGAAGTTTTCCACATTTACACTTTAGCCTTCGATGTCACTCCTTTGTGAAAGTGAAGCGGCTCGCCCCCTCCCCTTCCGCCGCACAGCTGAGTTCTGTGTGTCCTTCTAAGGCACCTTGAGCCCTGCGTCTGGAAGGCTGCCCCGGCTCACCCCAGCCCCGGTGATGTGCTTCGCACACTGTTTGAAAGACGTCTCTCAGTCGCAGTGTATAGAGTTTGAGGGTTGTTGGCCGTGTCTGCAGGTGCACAGATGCTTTTTCTCCAGCTCCAGGTTGAAGATGCCCTCCTGTCTTCTGGGCCTTTCTGGCTATCACGCCATGGTACCATGTGGCTCATTTAGTAGGCTCTTGGTAAACATGGGTCAAAAGTGAGAGACTGGCAGACTGAGGGTCACGTGTGGTGCTGGGAATTACCCAGAGCACAGGGACGTCCTCCCAGTCTAGAGAATATAGGTCCTGACACTTTGATATTCTCAAACATGGAATAAAAGGAGAAAAAGAAAGAAAGAAAAAAAAGAACTCAAGAGTATGGAGAATATAGTAGCCTGATTGTGACCAGAAGAGGCAGCACTAATGTGGGAACCGGAATGCCACCAAGGCAGCCAGCTCTCCATTGGGCTCTTGTCCGAGGAGGAGGAGGATCAAATGCGTGAAGCAGAGCTCAGGTTAGAAATACAAGAGAGCAGATGTTGGCGTTCAGTAGCCTCTGGGCACAGTGCAAGGGCCATGTTTGCTTTGGCTGTGCAGAAGGAGGCGGTTTGGGAAAACTGGCTGTTGTCAGAAAGCTGGTTATGTATAGCTTTGCCGAAAGTGTGACAGATTTACCACCATAGACCAGAAGTCTTTTATGGTTTGCTGTTTCTGTGTTTTCTGTTGACCGGCCCGTCTGCCCTGGATTGCGCAGACGGGTCACGTGCATCTTCTTTACTGCTCTCCTTCGGCTCTGTGTCCAAAGAGCAAATTCACCGATTTCCTGGTTGTGAATGAGTCGTATTTTCTGTGTATCACACTCTGCATTGCTTTTTGATGATGGTATTCTGTAAATGGGACAGTCTGTGAACACAATCACAAGTAATAAGCCAATGTGTGTAAGTTAAATTTTACCTATTTTAAAATACTTTTTACGACCGGGGTCCCTCCAATTATGAGAGCTGAACATCTGGGCATTGTTGTTCAGCTCACATTCCTTGTTTTTGGATTCTCATCTGTGACATAGAAAACTGAAAGTGTTGATGGGTTTTATTCAGTGTTATTAAAAATTTCTAAATCTAACTACATAATTATAGTCCATAAAAATTAGGTAACATGCCCCAGGGAAACTGCAATGATGGTTGGTGGAGCTACTCTCCTGTTTTCTTCCTACAAATCTGAACTGTCAATCGTCCGGTCTAAGTAAAGCATGTGGCTGTTACACATGGGGGCTTGGGGTTGCCTCTCTGTCTCCCTCAGCTCCACTTTGGAAAGGAGTCCTATCATTATGATTTCAGTGCCCCGACACCTCCAGATCACTCATGTCCTACTTTGTTCTTAATATTTCTGCTCTCTGTGAAGAGGATGCTACTGTTTGATTTTTCTATTATTTTATTTTGTGACGTTTCAGACTTACAAAAAAAGTTGAAAAATTGTACAGTGAACACCTCTATATCCATCATGGTTTTAACATTTGGAAAAGATCCCTTCCTTCTAGCAAGTCAGAACCTTCAGTACTGCTCATCTTGCGTGAACCTTCTCCCTGCGAGCCTTCCCTCCTCCCGCCTTCCGCATCCCACGAGCGTCCACCTCAGTGGGATTCTGCCGGGACAGGTCCCCCTGTGGTGCCGGAGGACCCTCTGCTGTTTGATGTTGGGAGCCCAGACTTGTGCTGCTGCGGGGAGGATTCAGGCTCTGGGGGGTGGCCTTGATAGGTGTAAGTGCTGGAACCGCAATGGTGTTTCCACTTTGGAGATCTCAGGTGTGGTCTCTCTTCTTGTGAGCTTTGCTTCCCCCTCTGAAAGCGTCCTTGTCCAGTGGGATGTGGTGGAATAGAGGTGCTGTTCAGGCAGTGGAGCACCATCACAGCCGTAATTTTCTCCTCGCTCTGCTTTTCCGGTCTGGACTGGCACGTCCTATCATGTCCAAATCTGGCCTGGTCACTACCCTAGGGCCAGGTGTCTGCCTCCCTGCCTCTCCTGTCAAGCCCTGGGTAGCCTAGGAGTGGCCTTCAGTTCTGCTTGGGTGGAAGACTTGTTTGTGGATTCACACATTCGACTGCCATGTTCTCAGCGGTCACTCTCAGCCAGGCATTGCACAGACACGCCAGAACAAGGCAGATACGGTTCTTACCTCCTAAAGGCTCCCGGTCTTGAAGGAGAAGTGAGGGCAGTCCAGTGTAGAGAGAGCTCTGAGGTCAGCTCCAAGAACGGGTGTCACTCCGGCTTGGGGTAGGCAGGTGTGTGTCAGGAAGGAGGGTTTGGGGCATGATTCAGAGTTAGTAGAGTCCCAGCGGGTGGGGACAGGCAGGCCAGCTCCTGACTGGGGCAGGAAGTGTGCCTGGGTAGCTCACTGTCTAGCTGAGCGGAAGAGCAGGTGTCTTACCATTTGATTCCTAGGTCTTCCGCTTCCTGCCAGAATGAAATTGAACTCTGACTTCTCCATGCCTTGGCCTCTTCATCTGTAAAGTAGGAGTGACACTGCCTACTTCAGAGAGTTGTTACGAGATCTAAAGGATACGTTCTGTAAAGCAGTTAACACGTTGACTTAATAAACTGACACTGATTCATTCATTCATTTAACAAATACTGACTCCCAGATGCTGACGATACAGCAGTGAACAGAGAGGGCCCAGTTCCCTGCCTCTTGGTCGTTGAACAGTAATGGGGGGGTGTTTCTCAAGGGGTTCCACTTGACCCTCCTCTGCTGGCTTGTCATCTGGCACCTTGTCTTCATGACACAGGTCTCCCACAACACGCACGTCCCGGTTTCCGTGCCTGGTCAGCACCCCAGCTGTCCTCTCCCTCCTTGTCGGGGACCTGCTCTCTGTGGTCTGGCGTTTCCTGCGTGCTGGACCCCTCAGGTGTTCCCAGGCACTTTATGAGCGTGACCGGTGATCCTCACAGCGGCGTGGCGGGGCAGGTGGTGGTGGCCCTCGTTTACGACTGGAGTCTGAGAGAGGATGAGTGCACTTGCGGGGGCCCACTCAGGAGTGCTGGGGCCAGGCCTGAGCTCTGGTCTGCTCCTGGCAGGACTGTTCTCTTCAGGCTCTATCGTGTGACTGTAATATCTTGTGTCAGGTAGAATCTTTTGAACAGTTGCCCAGAAATAATGAAGAATAGGTGGTAATGAGATTTGGAAACACTGTTCTTAGACCACTGCTTAGAGCTTGCTTAGCACAGACTCCAGCTCCCGTGGACATACCTGTCACAGCTTGGGAAGGTGGGGAGTGACAGGCCATCACAGCCCTCCCTGGGCAGAGAAACTTTAAGCGTCCAGAGGTGAGTCCTCGGTAACCCATTCATCACAGTAACTGTCTGAGCACAGACTTCCTGAGACATGGATAGAAAACGTTAAAGTGTCTGCGATGCTCTGGGGGCTCGGGGGCTTGGGAATACGTCTGATGTTATGGGTAAACCTATATCCATAGGATCTGAGAACTTGTCTGGATGTCATTGGACAGAGGATATGTGGATGTCTGTAGGATTTTATGAGAGCTTTCTGCAGGTCCATAGAATGTCCACTTAACCTACGTGCTTCAGACATACAGAGTCTGCACGTGGCGAGGCGCACGCAGTCAAGTCTTGGGGCATCCTTGGCTCTCCCAGGGGAGCGCAGAGTACGTTGCAGAGTCTCCAAGAATCCGGGCGTCATGGACCCCCCGCTAGTTGCCTGTGTGTATTAGATGATGATGATTCTCCCCAGAAAGAAAGGCTCTTTTTTCTTGAATTATATTCCATTAAATTGAAATCCTGATTGTGTGAAAGAGCCAACTTCATTTTTCACCCCTTCCCTGGATCAGGTGTTACATGAAACAGGTGAAGAAAGCCTGTTTTTGTTAGGTCACCTAGAAGTCACCTAGAAGATGTTGAAATAATTAGTTCTAAAGCAGATTCAATCTTATGTTACATAGATTATATTCCTCTTCCTTACAAAGTTTAAAATTTATAGTTTCAGATTTCCTTGCATTTTTTAATTCAAGAAATGCCTTGTCTGAAGAACGAAGCAGTAATTTCTTCCGTAGCCTCTGGCATAGGATCTGATTCTGTTGGAAAGAAGAGTGTCCTTTATCCTGTTTATAAGACCCGTGAAGAGTTTTGATTAACATGCTTGGCATGAACACTTTTAGCGGTGTTGCCACATGATTTCACGACCCATTTTGTGCAGTTTTTTCCCTTTGCAAATCAATAGACGTATCCCTTGGTTGTGTAATTTAGTCTTTTGACAGGTTTATTTTTAGCCTTTCACGGAGATTCATGCAGGTGAACAGTATTTCTCCGTTTCTCCTCCACTGCATTCATTTCCGTTGTTGTTTAAAGCTGGGTTTGCTCCAAATTTCTGGTGCTAGTATGAGCTGCCCTTTGGAGAGAATGGGGAACCTGGGAGCATCCTCACCCGGGGAGTGAGCTGCTCTCCCTCGTTGTCCAGAGGCTTGAGTGTTGCGTGAACTCCCTGTGGAAAATAAGGACGTTGCTCCTATTTGGGGTCTGCTTGTTCGGGCTCTGTTGTCAGTTCAGTAATGGAATGCTCGAGCGCATCATTTATTTCGCACATTAAGATTTTTTTTAAAAAAATTTTGCAACGATATCCCATATATATTTTAGAGTTTAAAAAATTCAGTGCTAGATCGCCCATGTTCATAGATTTGGAAGACTTCATATTGTTAGGATGACAGTACTCCCCAAACTGATCTACAGATTGAGGGCTAACCCTATCGGAATCCTAGCTGCATTTTTGCAGAAATTGATGAGCTGATTCCAGAATTCATAAGGAAATGCAAGGGACCCAGAATAGCCAGAACAATCTTGAAAAAGAAGAACAAAGTTAGAGGACTCACACTTTATGATTCAAAACTTAACACAGTGCTGTAATAATCAAGACAGTGTGGCAGTGGCATAGTGTAAGGATGAACATACAGATCAGTGAAGTAAAAGTGAGTCCATAAATGAACCCTTATGTTTATGGCCAGTTGATTTTCAACAGAAGCACTAAGACAATTCAATGTAAAGAATGATCACTTCAACAGATGATGCTGGGTCAGTTGGCTGACCAAAGCAAAAGAGTGAATTTGGAACCCCTGCCTCACACCATGATCAAAGATTAACTCAAAATGGATCAGAGACCTAAGTGTAAAAGCTAAAACTATAAAACTCTTAGAAGAAAACATAGATGTAAATCTTCATGATCTTGGATTAGCAATGATTTCTTAGATGTGACACCTGAAGTACAGATGACAAAAAAAGAGTAGATAAATTGGACTTCATCCAAATTAAAAACTTATGTTTCGGAAATCTTTTCCTTAAGGCTGCCAAGAGTCCAGGCGGCTGCTGCTTTCAGATGGAGTCTAGACTCTGACTCCAGCCTGCCCATCCCTGCAGCCAGTGGCCCGCCTTGTCTGAGCTGCTGCATTTGTCCTTGTTTCCCTGGATGGCGGCCATGGCCGCCGCCCCCTCCTCTGTGTGTGTCCCTCCCCTTCTCCTCTGCCAGTTCTTGCCTTCATCTTTAAAACTCACCTCTTGCAGACTCTCCCACGGTTTTGTCTGTTTGACTCTTCACTTCTCGAGCCTTATATTTGGCTCAGACCACGGTGACTGTCGTGTGTTGGTTCTTCCACTGTTTGGGCGGTGCTTGGTTCCCTATGGGATGGCCAGCTGCTTGACACTGGAGCTGAGGCCAGCCCTGGGTTCGTGGGTGTCCTCTGGTGAGGGCACGTGGTGCTGTGGAAGGGACATCAGTGCGGTGCTGAATTCCCTCCCACCCTCCGCTCGGCTCCAAGACGTCTGCCTTGAGCAGATCACTTATTTTCATTGTTTCTCTTCCTTCTGTGTTGAAAGGACTGGGTGGGGGCTCTCAGGGACAGACAGAGGCAGCGCTTAGCCCTGCCTGGGTGACCTGTGAACTCTTTGTTCACATTTTGCTCCCCTTTGTTACCTTTGCCAGAATTTCTGGCTTTGGCACTTCTGGGATCATCTGTTAAACACCAGTGGAGTACGATCCCAGACCTTGGACGTAGGTCCAGGGGATTCATTGATGGTCTTTGCCCCCGAGAAGCTGGAGGCTGGGGTTTCCCAGTTGTGGTGGACTTGACCAGATTCTCAGCTGACCAAGTGGACTGTCTGCCCCGAGGCTGAGGCAGCTGAGGTCAAGGCCATGGCGCCTCTGCTGGGATTGCCGGGGTCAGGAAGTGAATATTGCTCATGCCTGTTATGTAGCAGGTGTTCACACACCTGGTCCCACTCACGCCTTCCTGCATTCGCTGTCCTTACTAGATTGTTTGCTCAGGAGAAAACTGAGGCAAGGAATGCAAGTAACTTGCCTAAAGCATGAGGCAGAACATTGTTTTGTGTCTTTCGCTTGAAAGCCCTGCCTTTTCCCACACGGGTTTCCTTCCTCCTCGTGGGCTGCTGTTGCCAAGCCAGGAGCTTCTTGCCACTCTCAGGGACTTAAGGCTCATAAATAAGTAAAATCTCATAACTTACAAATGGCTCGTCCTTTCAGCCAGTTTGGGGATACTGGTTTTTGCCATTTCCTCCTCTGTCCTTTTAAACGGCATTTATGAGTTCCTGGATATGAGTTTTAGTCTTTATTGGTGTGGTAAGAGGGGAGATTTCTCTTTAAAAAAAATTTAGCGGAAAAGTGTTCTTTGTGTACTGCTTTTTAAAAAATTGGAATCTGGGCAGGATCAAAAACAACATCTTGACCATTTCCAGGATTCACAACTTCGCCAGAGCACAGCCTACAGTTTACACCAGCCTCAGGGAAACAAGGAACACGGGACCGAGCGGAATGGCAGCCTCTACAAGAAAAGTGATGGGTATGTAGGTGGCGCGGCTAGAATTTTAGTGTGTTTGTTATTGCCTGTGTCCAAAATTTCTGAACTCTCCTTTTTTTCCCCTTTTATCTGTAAGGATCCGAAAAGTGTGGCAGAAGAGGAAATGCTCGGTCAGAAATGGTTTTCTGACCATATCCCATGGCACCGTAAGTATAATCTTCTTCTGGGGTGGGTGGCAGGGCCCCGAGGGGACTCACGTGGCTCTGCGCGTGCTGAGGCACAAAGGATGCCTTTTAAAGACGTTCCCTGCTGAGGAAAGCTTGCTTGGGCTCCTCCCCGGTTTGGTGCACCTGCCCCTCATTTGCGCTCTCCTGGTCAGGGACACCTTGCTGTCTGTCGCTCACTGAGGAGCAGAGTCAGGAATACACAAGGAGCCAGGTGGTCTGAATTTAGATGCCCGTGACTTCTGCAAACAAGCAGCAAGCCACTCCCCAGCTTTCTTTGTCTCCAGAAATTGAACATCACCCTTGGGAAAATTTCTGCTTTTCCATTAAGGGAACAGAGTTTAGGTGGTCAGGGCTCTGGGAGCCAGACATCCAAGAGAAGAGAGATTGCAGTAATTTTATTATAGACATACTGCACCCGGCCTTAACCAAGTTCTTTTTCTACAACCCCATGTATAACTGCCCATGCAGGAGACTGAGCCCTGAACGTTGCACCAGTTGAAAAACCAATCAATAAAATGGCTTACTAATCTGGCTTTCTTAGACCAAGAACTGTAACCACAGTTATGAACACAGCCCTTTTCCACAGAGGTGCTAGGCATGTTATCACCTTGCCTGGCGTGGCAGGATCCAGTGAAAGCCACGTCGGCTGGTAGACATTTTCGAAAATGTCTGACGGCTGAGTTGGTTGCTGTTTGAATCAGCATTGATGGTGGCCTGCATTTCTGGGCCCTGGACGGGAGGCCTGGCCCTGACCTCAGCCCCGTGGGCGGCGGTAGTGGGGGTGAGCCTCAGTCTGCTTCTTCCTTCCCCTGGGCCCACCAGTTCCCCCAGACAAGCTTTTCGGGCCCCTGGACAGGTCATGGCTCAGTGTGGTTCCAAAGGAACGGCCCTTCTGGGTACTTAGGAGTAAGGCCGCAGAGTAAAACCCCACCTAGGACGGATGGCACTGCAGCGTGGATCGTGTTCCACGGGCGGGGAGGGGATGTCCCTTCATTTCTGCCGACTCTGTGTAGGAAGACAGAGACGGTACGACCAGCAGGTACCAGAGTCGTCTCTGGGGCCGTCTGACCTTGGGGATTGAATGTATCTCCTGCCTGAGCAAATAAAGGTCATTTCTCTTTTCCAAAATCCAGCCTTCACTGGCCTCCTTTACACTCACCACGTCCCTCCCAGGGCCGTGCGGTTTGGATCCTGCTGTAATGTTCTTTCCATGCAGCCGTGTGCGTGTGTGTCTGGGTGCGAGTGCTGTAGACTAAGGGAAGCCAGCTTGCTTACCACCTCTCCTCCTCAAAGTCACGGATGTCAGACTGGATGAGAGCCAGGCCCCCTTCCTGCTCTAAACACTTGTGAGTCTGTGATTTGCTTTCGAATTGTTTTCTGCTTGGTCGTTTAACTCAGGTTAACTGTCTCTTGTTCACGAAATCGGGCCGAGTTTCATCTCATGCTTGTTCACAGCTGTGAAGTCATTTGATGTATTTGCTTCCTTGAAGTGTTGCGCTAGACCCAGGACCTTGGCTCAAGCCAGCCTGGCTCTCCCTCCACCACAGAAACGAAAGCAGGCCTGGTAATCCTGCTGACGGCGTGAACTTTGGTTCTCATCACTTCCATTGCTCGAGCTGCCTCTCGAAAGACATGGAGGCTTAGGTTTTTGTTTGAATGTTGATGGGGTGCCCCGGTTGCTGGCAGATAGTACAGTTCTAACTAGCTTTCCCAGCAGACTGACGGCTCAGCTTGTCGCACCACATGCGTGTTGAGGAAGTGCGTTGTGCTGGGGGTGGGCGTGGTGGGGAGTGAATCTCCACTCTCTGGATGCCCCCTCCTCCCTCCAGCTCCCTGGGCCTGGAGTGGCCGGAGTGGCCATTGCCTTCAGCCCAGAGGAGGGGCTGGTGTGGGCTCTGTCCCTCCGCCTTCCCTGGGAAACAGCTGGGTTCCCGGGGCAGCTCCCTTTCCGCTGCGAGGAGCTCATCCGTCTCCTTCCCCTGAGTGTCCTGCGTGCTGGGGGCAGCATCCGACACCCCAGTGCCCCTACATCTCCGGAGCATCGCACACTGTGCTGTAAATGAGCCTCTACCAAGGGGGACGGGTGAGAGATGCCCTTTTGTTTGGTTTTGTTTTGATTTGGCTCCTTGTGTAGCTTGCCTGCTTAGCCAGCATCTCCCTGAGTACGCTAATCTACCATCAGGGGAAAAAAAGGCAGTTTTTTCCCAAGACTCAAGCAAGTAAATGGGGATCTAAGGGCAGAACTCAGCTGAGAATTGGGTCTTTCAGTCGTGGAAGCACAAGGTGTGTTTGCACTGTTAGGAAAGCCGGTTTCCTCCCGGGAAGCTGGCAGCCTCTAGGACATGAGAGTGTTGGATTCTGTTAGCAGAGGGACAGCAGTAACATCTGGGGTGAATTCAGTGTAAGCCCGAGTTGGTATTCCCCGTTAGCCAAGGCTAATTGTGTTTTCTGGCACAGGAAGAAGTGATTCTTGGGACAAAATAACTCTAATTAGGGATCCTCTTTGCCAAATTCATAGCTTTGCCACACTGCCAAAGGCTGGGGACCGTGTTAAGCTGGAAGAAATGTCTGTTGGTTCTTACACAATCTGAAAAAAAATTTTTAAATGATCATCAATCATGCGGAAAGAAAAATACAAACTTCCTTTTAAAAGCCTGACACACTGATGGGAAACTGAATGGCTTGACTGAGATGGGAGCTTCACTGGCAGTCCACGCCTCCGAGGCAAACACTCAGAGGGGCGGGTCTGTTTCCTATCCTTCCAAACCGGGGATTCTCAAGTCGGGCTCCCAAGGAACACCAGCACCCGATGAGTTAGATAGACCTGTTCTGTAGCTAAATTTAAATGATGACAGCGTTTAACTCAAACTGTGGCAGGGAAGGAATTTAATGGATAGAATGTTCTCTATTTTAAAATTTTCTTCCGTAAATTTTTCTTACAGCTTTGCTGGCAGCTAATACTTAATCTGAATAGGCCAGTAGCAAACAATGACTCATGTGAGACTTAGAGCCGCTTAAGACGGTCAGCTTCTGTGTTCTCTGGGCCATTTTCACGCTTGTCATCTTTGAACAGTAGCCACAGTTATTCTTTTCTCATTCTTCCTACTTCACTCATTGGCCCTGAATGTTTTTCCATATCCTGCAGTGCATACGCCGTGAAGTAAGAAATCCGTCTTTGACGGTAGTTGCGTCTCGGTGAGAATGAACAACTTTCCCAGCAGCACAGGGAGAGAACCACAAGTCGGAGAGGGACGGGGAGAGGGTGCTAGTCACTGATGTGTGGCTCTTGGCTGCAGGACAAAATGCTTAGAGATAACCCAGGAGGGGGTTGCTTTCTGAGGGCCATGCTGAGGGCCCAAGGGACTGGCCGTTAGGAGCTTGGGCGCTGGGGCCAGGCTGGCTTGTTCAAATATTGGCTTCACTGCCCCCAAGCTGTATAAGCTCAAATTATTTAACCTATTGCAGCCAGTCTCTTTATCTATAAATTTGGAGTAGTTCCTACCTCAGAATGCAGTTAAGAGAATGAAATGAGTTAATTCATTAAACATGTTAGAACAGTGTCTGCCTCATGCAAGTGCATAATGAGATGGCGGCAGCAGCATCCGGGGGGGGGAAGGTGGCTGCAATTATTCAAAACCCTCTTCTTGTCCCGTGAAAGTGTTTCTGTGTTTACCAAAGTGCACCACCTCCTATTGCTCCGGTGTCTTGAGTCTCAGCGGCCACCAGCAAAGGCACCTGCATAGTTGTGTGACCTCAAGAGGTAACCGAATAGACACGTACTTTTTATGGGACGAACACCTTGGTACAGTGCTCGGTTGCATCTGTGGCGTGGGCTCCTACCATAGAAATACCTACCGAAGAAATACATCGTTTGGAATAATGGTTCCTGGGCGAGCCTGTTCATTTTATTGATGAAGATCCAATATTGGACTGACAGTGCTTTCACTTGGAATTGTCAAGGTCTGCGGGATCAGGCAGAGCTTGGAGTCTTCGAATACTGGTTTCTGATTATCCGGGGAGTCTGTTAGGCATCTCCAGACTGTGGAGAATACCTGGTGGTTTCCATGTAAGCGATGGGGTCAGCGCAGCCATGAACCAGGAGAGCCCAGTACAACCCTGTTTATCCCAAGTTCCTTTTATCAAACCCGAATTGTTCACACTGCAAGGATCTCAGTCCTTTTGCAACGGAGGCCACGCTCCCTCACCCTGACTCTGTGAGCTCAGCAGAGAGGGGTCTTTAAATGCAGATCTGCGTGTATCTCAATGAATCCTAAATCCAAGCTTTTACAATTTCTTGACGTGGCTGGTGGCCACGGGAAGGGATAAACGAGTGACTGTAGTCTCAGACATTTTATTTGGTCTCCAGCCACTTGGTGAGTGGGTAAGACAAGCCATTCATATTTCAAGATTTCGCCAAGATTTCTGAGAGGCATTTTGCCATTCAGAATTTTTTTTTCCCTGAAATTATCTTCTTACCCTCTTTGCTTTTTTGCACTAGTTGTGATAGTTTTTGAAATGGTCATGAAATAGCCATTTTTGGCATGTCTCTGACACAAACATATCATGATCTCTTATTACCACTGTGTGTGGAGGCAGGGTCAGCGGAGCTGGGGGATGTGTGTGTGAATGAGGTGGGGTTCGTTGAAACTGAATTGACGGATGGTTGGCGTTAAGGCTTATGAATTTATCATTTGTCATTATTTCAGAAAGTAGGGAAAATAATTTTTCTGTCATTTCTGTGCTGTGAGATTAGTTTCCCTGAAGGTGAGTGTTTACACTCAGGAAAACATTTCTGAGATCACCAGAAACTGAACTGGGTGCCTGTGTTCCCAGCTGGTCAGGACAGCATGTCTCAGAGCTGTAGCCAGGGAGCATTTTGATCTCAGGGACCGGCATCACTTGTCCCCCGTCTGGGTAGGCATGTGGGCCCCCAGGTGTCTCATGCAGGGACCCCTGGGAGCTGAGACCCCGGGGACACCCTGTGATGTGCCTCTGTCCTGCCTTCTACATAAAATCTGCCTTCAGAAAGCTGTCTTTGCAAACCTGTCCCTGCTGTATTTAACAAGAAATGATCCTGTGATTTCCCATTCCTTCCGATCCACCTCCGCTTTTTGTCTTCCAACAGGCTAACCGGCCTCCTGCCAAGCTCAACCTGTTAACCTGCCAAGTAAAGACCAACCCCGAGGAGAAGAAGTGTTTTGACCTAATTTCACGTGAGTTTATTTCTCAGACGCTCTCCCGCAGAGAGATTATTTTAAACTCTCTTCTAGGGCATCAACCCCATTTCAAACAGTGCATTTTGAAAAATCAATTCTCAAAGAGAATGCCTTTATTTTGGGTGACTGTGTGCTTTCCCTTCGCGCTCGAAATTGTCTGCGTGCCGGTCTCTGCAGTTTAGGACTTGACTCCGAGGAAGGCCCTGCCCTACTCGTGGGTTTGGTCTTGGCAGTTCTAGGTGGCAGGGCTACAGTCGGGGAAGGAAGGGGCCAGCTCCCTTTCAAAGGCCATCACTAGGGATTAGGGCACAAGAGTTCTTTTATAGAGAAAAACTCCAGACCACGCATTTTGGGAAGATGGTGCCGTTGTATCTGCCTCAGCTTCCCGGAGCAGGAGATGGCTGCTCCTTCAGATGTGGGCTGGACTGGACTGCCGCGGGTGGGTGGTGCTTACTGTCAGTGAAGTGCTCTCAGCAGACCTGTGCGGGAGTGATTACCGTGTCCGCCTTGCGAGGAGGGGAGACGGAGGCCCACGGTGGTTTCCGAGCTGCGGGAGGATGTTGAGCTGTGTGGTGTGTGGGGAGGGTTTGGGTTTGTTCTGTTCTACAGATTCTAGACGAATCTGTAAAATAAAAATTGACCGTATCCTCTTCCCAGCCCCGGGCCCCACTCAGTCTAATCAGGCCCACTGTTCTTTGCCTCCTCCCCGAAGCTCGCTCTCAGATCCTTCACTCATTCAGGACAGTGTGAAATGAGGAGAATTGCCCGCAGTTTAAAATGTGATCATGGCTGGGATTATCTGCCCTTAGATGGCAATAAAAAGTTACAGTAAAAGGGAGAGAATGGTGCACTCTGATGTCAGCCAGTGGCTGGGGACACTTAGAGGGCTTGAAGCCTTTCCATTTTCTGAAGCAGTAACCCATGAGAAGTAGTGGGTGACCCTCCGGGAGCTGATGGCATGTAGTGAACCAAGCCTGGCTGGGTTCTGCATGCGTGGAGGTGGGTGCCAGCCCTCCTTCGTCTGCCCCAGTCACTCCAGCATCCCTTGTGGGGGCCCCCGTTAGAGACCATGTGTGCAGCAGCATTTATTTCATGCTTGTAAAAAACTCCAAAGCATTCCCCAACCTGCACGTTTCAACAGCTGGCCAGGCACGGAGGACCAGCTGGTGGTGAGCTCGCCTAACAGCCGACCAAGCAGGAGTTACCACATCCCCCAGACACACGGACGGTGGCTCCGTGTAATCTGGTGACGGGTGCGCGCTCTGGCAAGCGGACGTTTATCCAGGTTCCATCAGTGTCCTTTGCTCCAGTGGCCAGTACATAATCCTGATACATAGTACCTGCAGAAAGGGCTCCAGCCTCTGATTCCCGGAAGGGCTCACTGAGTCTGATTCGAGGCACTGCTGTCAATTTGCCAGAGTCCGTTGTCATCTTTGAAAAAAGCTCTCATCTCTTCTTCTTCCCAGCGTCCTCCAGTGGGTAGAATGAATCCCTGTCCTACACATGTTTCATCCTCAGCGAGTTTTCAAAAGGTGTTTCTCCCCTCGGAGTGTCTGTGGTGGCGATGCTTTGTGGCAGTGCTCTGTGGGTTTGGGTTGTTACAGAGAAAAGTGAAAGCCAGTCAGACCCACACGGGAGCCATCAGGGAACACGTTGCAGGGCGGGAGAGCCCTGATCTGACAAGCGTCCCAAGAAGGTGGGGGCGTGGGGTCAGGTCTAGCTCTGTCTGACTCCACCGACTGCCCAGGCTGCCGGGACACATGTCGCCTTTGTGCTGTTTAAACTTTTGGGTGGTTGGAGAAACAGAAGTCAAGATGCAGGTGCAGGCAGCGAGATGCTGTTTCAGGTGTGGGTCTCCCAGGCCCCTCGGGCCGCCCTGTCCTCCTGGCCCTCACCCTGTGTAGGTATCTTGGGCTTACCAGGGAGCCCAGGAGAGGAACAGACTGACCGCTGGCCTCAGTCATTTCCCTGCGGGATCCTCCTCCACAGTCCTTTCCACAGGCACGGGTTCCCCGCTCTGATCAAGTAGTCAGTGGGCCTAGCTTCTCAGGTGGGCCGTCCCTGCGGCAAGGCCAGCCCTTCCGGGACCCTGTCCAACCCTCTTGCCCTCAGATTGACCCCACTGTTTGCAGACTCCAGTCCTGGGCCATTAGCCTCCCGTGGTGGAAGGTGTGGAGAACTTGGAGGTGATCCAGGCCAGTTCCCTGAGTGGGACAGGCCCACCGACAGTCGGTGACTTTCTGGATCCACGCAGAGGGTTCGTGGCCAATTGGATCCAGACCTGGGGCGGAGAAGCAGCCCTTCCCAGGACACTGTCACGTCAGGGCTCTGACCGTCTCTGCCATCTCCTCTTGGTTTTCTTCTCCAATAGCTGCTAGAAACTGTTCTTGGTTTATAGGCATCTTTAAAGTGTCCATATGAGTGCTTTTTTATTTGGAAGCTTTCATGGAGAATTTCCCCTGGTTCTCCAACTTTCACGTGTTAGAACACAGAATTAGCCACAGGAAATGGGTGACTTTTCTCCCCCACCCCCGCCCCCTCTTTCTACTTGATCTACTTGATCTACTTGATCTGTGCCTGATCTAGCCATGGAGAGGCTCGGGGAACACTTGGAGGGTTTTAGGGCTGATGCCAGACACAAGCCTCTGGCACAACCCGCCATGGTCACGGCTCCCTGAGGACTCTGAGATCTACTTAGTGTGTGAAGTGGCTCTGCCTGCACCCCAGCCCCTACCCTGGCCCTCCTCCAGGTGAGCTCTGCACACCAGGTAGAGGTGGGAGCAGGCAGAGCGATCCCTCTCTTCCAGCATCTGGTTGCAACACCTCCCAGCGTTCAGCTCGGCTCCGTCTCCTATTTGGAGCCCAGAGCAAACCCGAGCCCTCTGCCACTGGGTTTGTTTTTGCCCCTTCATCTCTGTGGGCCTCCCCTCCTCCTGGTCAGCTCACCAGGAATTGTTCTAAGAACCTAAGTGCTTGCAGGGAGTTTTAAAACCACGATTGGAAGATGACATGTTTGCCCATTTTGAGGGGCACAGATGTGTGCTGTGCACCCCAAGAACAGTCGCTGCTTGTCACTGCATCTGGAGATGGTGACTCGTCTCTCTTTTTTTCTGTTTTTTAAATTTAATTTTCTTTTTTACTTTGTTTTTGGACTGATTGTAAACAGACATTCTGTATCTCCTTCATCCAATTCCCCCTAATACTGGTATCTTAGCACAGCTTATCCGACCCTGTTGAGTACGTAGTACCAGCCTTCTCCGCAACTGTCGAAATCAGAAATTCACGTTGCTGCGAGGCTAATGACTACAGATCTTACCAAGTTTTACCTTTTTCTATTCTGGGTTTCTGTCCAGGACCCCACATTACTGCTGCTACTTCATTCTAGTCTCCTGCAGTCTGTAGCTGTTCTGTGTCTTCCCTTGTCTTACATAACCTTGATACTTTCTTTGAAGATGACTGATCAGTTTTTTGGTCCGGTGTTCCTTAGTTTGGGCTTCTCTGATGCTTTCCCACAACTGGACAGAGATTATGCATTTGGGGCTAAGAATTCCAGAAAGCTTGTAAGGTACTCACCTTAGAAATGGCCCTTACCATTCAGAAGGCCTTAACGATTACTTTTGGGGGCCAACTCTGTAGCAAGTTAAAAAAAAAGCTTTTGAAAGGGTAGTGATGGTTTTCATTGAATAGCTTCGGCTGGCTGCATCGCTTTAGACTTGAACCAAGGAGCCAGCTGGCTCTCCGATTTGCATTACAAAGCCACAGTTCCCAACCTTGTCCCCTTGTCCCCTTGTCCCCTGTGAAGGACAGGAGGGAGGGCTTGACTGTATACAAATCATTGATTTCCTAGTGAAGTTAGGACTATCCCCGAGGTTAATGACAAACTGTGCGGATTACTGTCCACGCTCACAATTGATGAAACCTCTCTTTCCCTTGCAGATGACAGGACGTACCACTTTCAAGCAGAGGATGAACAGGAGTGTCAAATGTAAGTCATTGGCAGGTGGGACCTTGGGCCTCAGCAGTTGTCCTTGGGATCTAACACAGCGTGACTGTTATTTTTCTAGATGGATGTCTGTGCTGCAGAACAGCAAGGAAGAAGCTTTAAACAATGCCTTTAAGGGCGATGACAATACGGGAGAAAACAATATAGTCCAGGAACTGACAAAGGAGATCATCTCTGAGGTCCAGAGGATGACGGGCAATGACGTGTGTTGTGACTGCGGGGCACCAGGTGACCCAGCCACCCCCGCCCCACCCCCACCAGCTCTAGGACATTTAAATCCTGTTCCGATTCACAGAATCCATTCATTGATTTTCCCTGTCATTTCAGACACAGAGTTCAGTGCAGCCCAGCCTGAGCTCGCCCCATCGCACAAATGCTTACTGAGCTGTGTGCAGACTGCATGGGGGGCAGGGTGGGAAGGTGCTTGCCTGCAGGCCCTCAGAACAGGGCTGTGTGAAGGGGCCCAACAGAGCTGAAACGATTTCATTGCTTTCTGAGAAATGAAAACAGCGCCCAGCGAGGTGAAGTCACGGTCATCCGGTCGTTACATTGGCCCCGGAGGCTGCAGCTCTTTCCGGGGCTTAATCCGCCCTCCACTGTACAGCTCTGTGGGACACCTGCAGCAGCTTTAAGCCGCTGTCTCGCCTGTGACCTGGAAGAGCCACTGGCTTTGTTAGATGTCAGTTTTCCTGTCTGGAAAGTGAAGGAACCGGCTGGGATTGTTCTGGGGGCCCCTTCCAGCTACCACATTCTGTGAAATGAGATGTTTTCTTTCTGCGTTTTGATGAAGCCTACTGGGGCTTCCTTTTTAATGGACCCAGAGTATCTTTACAGATTTTAACACCAGTCATTTGAAAAGTTTAAGGAGTTGACTCATGTTTGTCATTAAGATGGAATGCTATGAGGCTGGGGTCAGGGGAGCTGGAGAGTACTGTTCTCTGAGTATTTGTAAAATGAGAAAGGTTGCGGCGTAGTTAGGATGGTCATTTACCTTTTCATTCCTCTAATTCTGTGACAGTTTCTACTCAAAACAAACACCACAGAAATCGAGTAGAAGTTGAGGAGTGCCACGGGGTTTCTGTTTCCCTGGAGGCTGTATTTGGGGATGATTTGAGGAATTACTTCATGGGGTCTTGGACCATTAAAACACGTCTCTGGCAGGAGATGAGGTGATGGCGGGGGTCGCAAATCCTGCTTTTTCTTAGATGAGCACAGTGTAGTGCTTGGACTTTTAAAACACTCTCAGAGAGAAGTCAGAGCTATGACATCTTTGTTTTAAAATGCTAAGACTATGCGAGTGATATAAAAATGTACACTTGTACCTACCAAAAGCATGACACAGTCAATACAGTAGAAAAGGTCTAGTGAAGTGAAAAAACCCTGGTGCCCAGAATTATTTCCTAACTTGAATAAAACTTTTGTAACTTGAACATTTAAAAAGTAACTTCACAATTAGCTAGTGACTACAGTTGCAGTATTGACTTGCTATGAGTTTCTGAGGGAACTAGTAATTCTAAAGAGATTTGTACTTCTGGACTGTGATCACATGCCCAGGTGTGTTTTCTTTTGAATTCCCTGTATTCAGTAAATTCAGCATTCATCCGTCAAGCATTTCTTGAGTACCTACTATGTGCTTGGCACATGGTAGGGTGCGTCAGTGAGTAAGAAAACAGGCAGGGCTGCAGTCCAGCTCTGCAGCCTTGAGCAAGACCCTTCACCTTTCTGAGCACAGTTGTGAAGACACCTGCCCTGTTCGCCTCCAGGCACTGTTGCCTGCACTAAATGAGGTATTATATGAAAGCACGTGCAATTTCTGAAGCTCTGACAATTCGAGCTATTATTGCTGCTACCAAACTGCTGAACACAGAGCTTCAGCACATCACTTTCAGCATCAGCGTGTAGGGTGTGTTCTCTGTCGGTATTATCAGCATCTTTGGGAACATACAGGCGAGTGCGTGTTAAGACTGTTCCCCGTGTAGTACTAGACTGGCAGACCCCGTTCCTCTCGCTCCTCTTGGCTGGTGCAACCAGGTTGGTGATGGGAGTGGTCAGTGTCCAAAGATCACTGGCCACTAGAGGGCGCTGTGTCCCGTTTATTCTTGTGCGCACAGCTCCTTTCCCTTGGGAGTCCTTCGTTAAGTGAATGGAAGGATGGACAGGTGGAGCCGTGGGAAGGGGAGGGAGGACAGATACGTACATATGTGTGTAACTCGGTGGTAATTGATGAACGAGGGTTCCTACTGCATCTGGGATCAAAACAATGCTCACGATGAATCAAAACTCCATGTTCGGTAACTATGCGAGAACAAATCTGACCCTGGCCCTCTTCTTAGCAGCTCCAATCTTCCCTGTTCTCTTTGGCAGACCCTACGTGGCTTTCCACCAATCTGGGCATCCTGACCTGCATCGAGTGTTCTGGAATCCACCGAGAGCTGGGGGTTCACTACTCAAGGATGCAGTCCCTGACGTTAGATGTCTTAGGAACATCAGAGCTGCTGGTAAGTCTCGGATCCTTGATTTCAGAGTGAAAACAGATGAGTTGAAAGCTAAGTTTTAATTTTGGCCCTGGAGTCCATTTTGGTTACTTTAAATTCCACTGGGCCTCTAGCTGTTGGTATTTGCCAGGTGAGTCTGGGCAATGAGAAACTTACTGGCAGCTCCTCCTCCTCAGCTCCTAGCCAGTAAGGGTTGCAAAGCTTCATTCTTTGCAATGAATCAAGTGAAGTAAACTCAAAAAGGGGCATGGAGACTGATGTAAGATTCTGGAACAAGTTGGTGGCAGGGTCCAGCACACCCCAGTCACCAAGTGGTGCGCATGCCCAAGCACGGAGACAGGGAAGGACTCCTCCCTGAGTCATCAGCCAATTTCCTCCAAGTCTGCGGTCACCACCTGGCTCGAGCCTCCGGTATACTCCGCCCCTTATTGTCGCCTTTTCGGGGAGAGATTGGTCTTTGCTTTTTCCTGCCTTTATTTCTAAGAAGTCTCTTATTCTCAGTTCAGTGATAACACATAAGCCATGCAATGCAGATCGATATTAGGCAATTGCAGCATTTTCTGTGAAGTGGCTTTCAGAGCGTCGAGATTGTGGCCCCCTGAGGAGCAAGCACATCACACCTTGGCCGTGCTTTTGGGCACCTAAAACACGAGCTCTTTGGACGGTTTTCAAAGTCTGTAACTGCTGATTAGAAAGCAGTGTTTGATATTCTCTCTAGAGGTAGCTGAGCCTTGGACAGTAAATATTAAGTGGATATCGACTGCCACTGATTTTCATGTCAAGAGCAATAGTCTTGACAGAAGATCAGTGGTTGTGGTCAATAGACCTCTCCAGGGGCCGAACAGCTTACGGCTGACTACTCCGGATCCAGCGTGTCTGAACTGGGAATACATTTAGAACTGTCTCCTCCAATCCTTCCAGTCTCTCCAAGGAATTCCTTTATGGTCTTGAAAGACAAGGCTGGGAGAAACTAGAGTGGATTCTGGTAGCCCGGTTAGCAACCTCCCTGGTTACTTCAAGTTCAGAACTCAGCTGGCCTCACTCAGCAGGACCCAGGCAGTACGTCCCTGGTTACACAGTGCAGTTACAGTTAACGTCATCTTCCGTCCAGCCTCCGTCACGGAGCTGTGTGTATACAGGCGGCGTCCTGGGTGACTGATGGTGGTGTAGATTTGAAGTTGTCACTATATTTTCAGAGACGCACAGACTTCTCGGTGAGCACCGGCAAACTGGGGCAGCTACGGTGCTGCCCTACTGGTTTTTCAAAACAGTGGGAAGTGTTAAGTGGCGTGTGTGGAAGTGATCGCTGCTGATTGTGGTCGAGGCACTTTGCAAAGAGTTTTATGTGTTTTAGCTCATTCATTCCTCACCCCAGCCCTGTGACGGGGGATGTACTGTGCCCATGCACAAAGGAGGAACTGAGCTTCGAATGTTTGGCAAGACTAAGGTTATGGAGTTATCAAAGCACCGGATCTGGGCTGGGGGCCTCTTTAATCTGATCCCAGAGCCCACGCTCTTAGCCCTTGAGGAGCCTGGGATGCAAGCTGACCTTTGCGGTGGGTTGTCTCACCCTGTGGGAAGCATTTAAATGTCACTGCTGTCCCTCCTCATCCCCCATCTTCATCCCCAGTGAATGTTTAACAGCCAGCTCTCTGGGAGGGAAAAAAGCCCTGCTTTGTAGTCCGCCCAGTCACGGGATGTAAGTAATCCCACCGCGACCATTTTTGCGCCACAGTGTGAATTACTGAGCCTGCCGTGGGAAAGAGAGGTTTCCTAGCACGTGTTATGTGGTAAGTTCACCACAAATGCAGTGATCGTAAGTAACTTCGAAACGTGGAAAACAGTAAGATGTAGGAAAGTAGGAAGTTATGGGTGCTTATTACTTTGTTTTTAGTGTAATTTATTGGATCATGAGTTTATCTAATGTAATTTTTAATGATGGCTGTTTAACAGTTGGCTCGTGTAAGCTGGTAGGAGCCTGATCCCAACACATCTGTTACAGCTGCTAAATTTCTGTGTCTCAGAAGTTTAACTGTGATCCACGCGAGTCTGCTGCCTCCTGCACAGGGAAGCATCAAAGCAGGTGGAAAGGATGAAGTGGCTCTGACCCCCAGTTCAGATCTTCATTTCTGTCGCCCGGAGCCTGTCTCTGTATTCTCATAGTTTGACCAGCTCTCAGCTGCTCTGGAGAAACCAGGCAGAGGCTGCTCAGTTACTATCTGCAGATATTTCCAAAATCTCATCTCTGCCACAGCTTTAGACTCTCCCTTATCTAAGCCTCTTTTCCTCAGTGGTTATCAGAAAACAAAGGGCAGAGGCCCTCGGCTTGCCCCTGACCTCTGCCTGTCTGGTCCTCCCCTCCCCTCCCCCAGCCCCATCGCTGTGGGCCTGACCACCCCCTGCTCCTCAGCCGGTGGGTGAGGCGGTGGATGGAGAGTGTGTGTTAGTCGTTGGTATCCTTGGTAAATCATGAGAATTTCAAGCCGCCTTAGAGTACCTGGTTATCTTATTTTACTGAGACGGTCAGATGCGTGGACAAAGGATCTCCTGAAGGCTGTGTGTGTGTGTGTGTGTGTAATTACGTCTGGCACGTAAGAACTACAAAGTATTAGCTATCATTATCATCTCCTCCTCGAAGATGATTTTAACAAAATCCTTCCAGAAAAATGATCCTCGTGTCCTGACATGTGAATCCACAACGAGGCCCCACCCGGGCTGTCTGCTCCGTTTGTGGACCTTTCATGTTCACAGAGCTGTGATGTCCGGCTCTTTGACTGGTTTGTTCCTCACTGTATGTTTTCTTGTGCGGTGGATGTTAATTAGGCTCCTCGTACTCTGTTAAAGAAATAAGAGGGTGAACTGGAAAATAACTTCCCGACGCATCCATGGGCACAGGCTGGGCGGAGCTGCTCCCCAGAGCAGTGTAAGGGCCCGCACCTCAGGGATGTGCTGTGACGGGAGAGGGGCTTCTGAATGGCCCGGTGGAAACGGCGGTCCACGAGCAGGAGTTCTCATTTCCTGGCTGGCATTATGTTCTAAATAAACACTCTCACCCCATAAAATGCCACTTCTGCCCCCCAACACATCCTCCCCGTGTACCTCAGGATAAGTCTTTTGCTTAATTCTGAAAATCATTTTCTGCCCGGGGTTTGCAAACAGTTTTCCCTGATGGTATGTTGTGGAGATTTCACCATTTCCTTTTTAATTTGTTTTTGTTTCAAAGCATGCTTGATTTCCATGTTAACTGAGTGATTTCCGCAGCACCTGTGAAGGTGGCTGGTTAGCAGTCACTTTTTCTTCCCTTTGCCTGCTTTTAGAATCACTTCTTATTCAGTGGAAAGACACTGGGGGAATTGACTTATTCATTTGATTAGTTCGTGGAAGCTGTGCCATCTTAACTACTTTAACATGCACCCACTTAATATCCTTAGATTTTAAAGCAAATCTGCTTTCAGAAAACCTCCTGACAGCCTAGATTTTAAAAAGATGAATTTCCTCCTTAACATGGAAGATTATGATTTTAGCTCTGATTTTCAGGTCATACATAAAACAGTACAGTTGGTCCTAAGGTTCCAGTATCATGTGATCAATTTCACATCATAAGTGAAATCAGTAAAGGAAATTTCAACATTATGGAATTGAATTTGAGTCAGTAACTTAAAAATCTTCCATTGAAAAACAAGGTTAGACCAAAATACTGATTAATTATAAACACTTGTTCAGGAAGAATTCAGATTCAGATTCTTTAAAAATTAAATACATTTTTAATTAAATATATTACTTCAATATACATGCAAAGGCAGAAAAACAGGTCATATTTTGTGTATTTTTCCTCTGTGACACCTTTGATAGTGACTATTACCTGTTCTGTCTGTCAGTCATCTTACATCAGATGCTCATAGAAAGCCAATCAATTCTGCCTATTTTTAAAATCAAATCAAATCTTTGAAAAGCTTTAAAAAAAAAAAGGGTCAGAAACCCTCAGGAGCACGTACTGTTTTGTGACTTTGTCCTGCCTCCCTTCTCATGAGGCTGTTAACAGGCCGTTCAGTGTAAAGTTGAACTGCCCACAGCCAGACCTGGGAGAGGGAGCGTGGGGGGAAGCCTCCCAAAACCCAGGGCTTCCTTACAGACTATACTGCTGCCTCCCTGGGACTGAAATAAGGCCACTCAGGATGCAAAGAGCAGCAGGAAGCATGCAACCAGCCACCGTTCATTGAGCAACTACTACGCTTCAGGCATTGTTCTAGGTTCTTCTTGTGATACCTAAGCTGAGAGCTCCATTTAAAAAAATGAGGTCAGAGCCTATGTTCTCGTCTTTTTTCTTAAACCACAGCCCTGAACTTCTTTTCACCACAAACCCTATCAGAAAAAATTGAGCACCAGAACAGACATACACGTAGGTGATGTGAACAGACATACACGTAGGTGATGTACAGCGATATTTGTATGACTTACTAAGAAGTGTGTTATATACTTTATGAAATATATCAAAAGAAGAATTTTTAAAGACTCGAGTGAAACATACACGTTTTTTCACCCACCACGGAGTATTTTGGAGGCAGTGATGGAGCATGCTGCAGTTTCTTCGCTCTGCCTTCAGAGCCAGGGTCCTGCTCCTTCACGTCCCTGGGGCCTTTGTCATCCATTTGTGTCTTAAAGGCGTGCCTTGCGCTCTAAGCCTTCCAGCCTCCTGGGATCTGAGGGTGCCCTGCAGACAATATCCCATTTCCTACCTGAATTGGGAACCACTTGAGAGATCAGAAGTCTGGTTTGTTGTTGAAAGCAGCCCAGCTGGCGGGCCTGGTTCACACATGCGGTGACAGCCGAGCCTCAGACTGGGTCTCGCCCACCCAGGCGGGGGCAGGAGGCGCAGACCACCCTGGTGCTGCGTCCCGGGGGCGCCTTGTTCTTTTCAGCCCCTCTGTTGGGGGAGTCGCTTCTCTCACGTGTCCATTCCTCTCCTCCGGGGGCACAAAGACAGGATTGTCATGGAAACTGGTGTCCCTCCACGTGAAAGCAGGGGACAGGAAGTCCCCCAAACTCTGAACGGTTTCTAGAGAAAATCTAGGTCCTTTCTGGCTCAGCGAACCCTGTGAGGGTAGATGCTCAGGTCTCCAGGAACACTTCTGGTCCCCGTCCTCGGGGCGCTCAGTGCAGTGAGGGAGCCGCGCTCTCAGGATAACCCCGCAAGGTGGGTGTGGGAGTGGTCGTCCCTCCCGACCAGGCGCCTGCTCTGCTGGCTTCCCCTCGCAGTCTCCCTTCCTGTAGTGCTCCGTCCAGCCCTCATCACAGAGCCCTTCCTTTCTTTTTCATCACCTCTGTCTCATCGCACCAAGCCCCGGAGCAGGCCCATTTCCCGTGCGCGGATCCCAGCACCCCCGAGGGCTCCGTGTGCGTTCCTGGACTGATGGGAGCTGGGCTCGCTTCCCTGAGCGATGCAGCACTTAAATGCCCGACTCCCCTGGACCGGCCATGGCCGATCCGCCTTGGCGCAGCCCCTGGGTCCTGGGCCCGTGCCTGGCAGTGGAGGGCACGTGTGTCGGGGCTGCTTAACCAGCCTTCCCTCTGCCGTGGCTCCTGCCCTCAGGCCTGTCAGGCCCCACATTCTCTCCTCACGACCCTGCAGCCTCCTTCTGCAGATGCTTTTTTGCTTTTGTTTATGGTTCCAAAGGGTTCTCTGCAGGCTGAAATATTCACTGGAACTTGATGAAACTGAGAGGCAGCACATCTCTGCATTGACGGGTGTCACGCATGGATGTGGTGGCTCCCTGGACCCGCCGTCCCTCGTAAACCAGCCAGGCCCAAGCAGAAGGGAAGCAGCTTTCCGATTCCGGGGAATTCTCCTCGCCCCCTCCCCTTTGCCTGCAGACCAGGAGGCTCGCAGGGCGTGCGCTGTGGCGTGTTCTGTCACGCACTTGAGATCACATTGCACTGCAAGAGGGGGCATTAGAGCATGCCTGGCCCTAAATAGGGGCCTTAACACTGAGCCTCAGACTGGCCCTGACACCAGGTGCCCCACCAGGTGCCCACGAAATCCTGGGGGTGTTGGCTCCGTGGTACGCTGCGTCACCCATGTGGTGTGCCACCCTGACCGTCCGCCCCGTCTCCGGGGAAGCTGCAGTGAGGCAACCTGGGCTTGTGCCACACGACATTGCCTGGAGGCTGCGGGGCCGAGACAGGACCAAGGCAGAGCTGGTTAGAGCTTGGTGCTTTGGGCCTCCAGAAGCTCTGTTCACTTACCACAGACAGGGCAAAATTAGGAAGGCTCCTCGCCCAGCTGTTAGGCTGTCCTGCGAGTTTCCCCCGTCCTCGGTCTCCCTCACTATCCCCTCGCTGCTTCTTGTTACTTCCCACCAGGAAGTTCGGCCTTCTCTGACCCAGATCCCTTTGGCTGTTCCTTCAGCCAGCTCCCCTGGAGAGAAGAGGCAGTTGGGGTGCAGCCTTACCTCCCAGGACATCCCCACATAATCCCCACTCACCCTTTGTCCACTGACTCATTGAGAGTAGAAGCGTCAGAAGTGTCACTGCCCCCAGGGGATCATTTTCAACGTGGAAATGAAAATGTCTGTTCTCTGCGGAGTACTGGGCTGCGTGCTCCCTTTCGGTTTCTTTGTTTCGTTCGGCATTGAGTCTGATCTCTGATGGTGCTCCTGGCCGCTCCAGATCCGTGCATCTATGCAGGAGAGCGCCAGGTGCCCCACACAGGGCAGCCTCAGACAGACGTGACGTTTATGTCTCAGTACCTGCTGCATGAAGCATGTGCCCGTCCTCAGTGAGCGTTAACGAAAACGTGTTCATTTCTGACAAGCCGGAGAGTTGCTCGGCTCGTGGGGACCTTATATTGGAACAGGTACATTCTTAGTGCGTTAGTTTGGTGAACGTTTTCACCTGAGTTACCCCATTTTCCCATTGTTACAACCTGGCAAGGTAGGTATCATCCCCATTTTACTATTAACAAGTCGAAGCTCAGGTAAACTGACTTGCTTGGGGTCACAGAGCCGGCAAATAAAACCATGATTTGAACCCACACTTTGATTTCCTGGCCCAGCACCCTCTTCACTGGGTGAGCCCCCCTTTCGCAGGTGTAGGTAAAGGGTGTTAGATCTCTGAGTTTCAGCTGGATCTCAGGGGTTCTGAGGGCGAGTTGCGGGGAGAGGGTGGAAACTTGAATTGGGCCAAGTTTCTGCTCTGCCCTGCAGGTCCTCGTGCAGGGAATGCTTTATAAGAACACTCCCCTGTAACAGGCACACTGCCGCTTCTCTGGTTTTATGGGTACCTTTGGGGTTTGGGTTTTGTCCAACTTCATTAAGGGCAAACCACTTTATTGCTCTATTTCTTAGTGGCCATTAAATAAATCATCAGATGTGCAAGTGCTGTGTAGCAGTGGAAGGTATTATTAATAATTGAGCACCCTGAAATGGACTTTTGTTTCCACAGCTTGCCAAGAATATTGGGAACGCAGGCTTTAATGAGATTATGGAGGGCTGCCTTCCAGCCGAGGACTCGGTCAAACCCAACCCGGGCAGCGACATGTAAGTACGGGCTGGCTGTGCTGGCTTACTGACCAAAGGTTGGCCTGGTACCTGGGCCCCCACAGGCAGGGGAATAGCAGGTGTGGGTGCATCTATTGTTGCTCCTTTAGGGAGGAAATCAGCCTGAGGTGTTTTTTCTTAAGTCACTTGAACCTTTTTATGTGTCCAAAGTGAAATTTGGTGTGGCGGTTTTCCTTAGAAGTCGCAGGAAAGCAGGTTGGCAGATCTTGTGAGCGTCGCCCTCTGCTGGTGGTGTGTGGGTGCACCCTTGCCTTTCCGCCTTGGGGAGGGTCGTCACTCACTCTCCCCGCCCGCCCCCACCCCCGCCTCTGAGAGGTTAGTTCTCACAGACACAGGATTATGTCTCCTTGTCTTTCCCAATGCCCTTGCAAATGTGTGGTGTTTCCTTCGAAGAAAATTTCTGTTTTTGCTTTAGTGTTGACACAAAACGTGATTAAGAAGCTTTGGTGCCTCATTGTGCATCTAGCCGGCCCTGGAGGCAGCGCTGACAAGAGGGGAATTTTCTGCCTGTCTTATCACACAAAGCATAAATCACCCCAAGCACCCTGGTCCTTGAGAGAGGCGGATGGGAGACCAGCTGGTCAGGGCAGTGGCTGGCCTGCCCCCTAGAGACCCCAGCCCTGTTCAGGGTGGGTGGCCTGTCTCTGCATGAGGGCTAGGGTGGTAGGATGATGTCACGGGGACAGCCTTTCCCTTGAAATGGCCTGAGATTGAGCTGCTGGCACAGCTTTTTCTGGACAGGGCGCAGCGGCTTGGAGAGTGTTACAAACGTGTAGGTCCAGCCTTTTGCAAAAGCAGAGAATGCAGATCTCTGTAACCATTGTGTGGGAGCATGTTTGGAAGATGAAGTTGCAGGATCTTGTTCTTGCACGCTGGGGTGAGGTGACTTAATACGGTAAGGGCGCTCCGACAAACTAATGGAAGGAACGAGTGCCCTGTCCATTACACACCCTCACAGGTGTCAGCGTCCGCGGCGAGGACTGGCTGGTATTGCATTAGAGTCAATTCATGTTTGAGTCCTGGAGCAGAGGTCTGTGGTGTGGTGTTTCCTTGAGACTGGATGAGGTGTGGATACCAGGTACAGGGCTTACAGTTACCATCCTCTTCTGATGAAGATCTAAGTTCCAAATGTGTGTCCTAACCCATACCTGGAGAGGCATTACAGGGCACAGAAAGTCGCATCCTTACCCGATCGTGGGGGCTGGGCAGGCTCGTCAACTTCCCCGAGCCCTTTTCCTCTAATAGAAACAGAAGTACAGCCGCCCCGCCTCAGAGTTGCTGGGATGCACGTCAGGGGGTGAGGAGGTCCGCATCCCGTATTTGGTTGGCGGTAGCAGCCCTGCTTCCTTACCATGGGCGACGGGGCAGCACGCACGCCCTGCGCTGATTCCACACACCATGGAAAATTAGGGTCCTCCCAAGTCAGACTTCAGCTGGAGAGTTACCCGGGGGTGAGCTGACTCATGAGAAGGTCTGTTTAGGGTGGGAAACATCATGGTCCACTGTGATACTTACTGTCTGACGGACACCTGCTCTCCCAGTGAGGGGACGGTCTCCCGAAATGCTCTAATATTGATCAGCTTTGTAGTTGATGATAACAAATTTCTTCCAAGTACCAGGGATACTTTGTAAAAGCAGAGAATTGGTTTATTCTGGGGCTAGATGATTCTAAAAAATGAATACTGTCTGCTTGGGGCTCTTCAATACAAATGTTCCATCTGCATTGAGGCCCCCCCCCCAACCTTGGCACAAACGAAAAGAATGTTTACTCCTCTCCTTTTTTTCCAAATGAGGGCAGATGGCCAGTGTGAAGGCAGCGTGCCCCCTGCCTTGATACCTCCTCGGGTGAAATTAGTCACTGGGCTCCTCTGCTCCTGTAGCATTTAGCTCTATTTTAAAACATTTCTTCCCATTTTATATTACACCTAGGTATTTACATATGTTTTTCTAATGAATTGTAGCGTACTGGTTTTTTTGTATTTCCCACCATAATGTGTTATTTGTGGTGGGAAATACGTATGTAATGAATCAACAAGTCCAAGGTGAAGTCAGCTCTGTGGCTGAATAAGCTACTGTTTTACTTCCAGATTAAAAGGCGGATACTGCTCTGGCTTTATCTCAGAACAGCACACCATCTGCAGATGAATCTGTTGAAAGGGAAGCCAGAGACCGTCTGGTGGCCTGTGAATCCCCAGATGGGTTTGGGGGTTGCTGAGAGATATAAATAGGCAGGAAGCAGGGAGCAGCCAGATTTGCGTCTGCTTACAGAGGTCGGAACTGTTCTTCTGGGATTCAGGGCCCTCAAGCATGCCCTGTCCTTTGCAAGTATAAGGTGCCCCTCTTTCTGAACACACGCCAAATGCATCGTACGTTCAGTTCATCGCTTTTCTCCAAAAGCCTTAGTCTTTCCCAAAAACGGCGGGCAAAAGGGAAGTCGCACTGGCAGAGTGAACTTCCACGGGGTGTGGTGTTGCCTAAAGCAGATCTGGACGTGTGCTTGTGTAGGGATGGCCTTCAGGGCACAGGGCCCCAGAGCCCTGGGCAAGCGATGCTACACTAAAAAATAAGTGAAGGGTCCAGTTTCTCTCTTGCTCCTTCCTGGGGAGTTCACCCTGTGACCGCCCCACAGCAAATACTGAAACGGCCTAAACCCTGCTGCCCGTCATGAGAGCCCCGTACAGTTTCATTAGGCAGCCTGTCAGTTACCAAGCCTGAGAGTCCCCAGGAGCAGCCTGCGCTCCACGCTGTCTCCGGAGCCCCGCGAGGAGAGCTCAGCCCAGCAAAGCAGGGCTACCCTCGGAGCTGGCCAGCTGCCGGAGGGGACGGTTGAATGTCGACAGCACTGTTGTGAGAATCAGATGAGGTGGCACATCTCCACTTGCCCACAAGCCCACAGGAACTGTCTGGTGCGTGCAGAGCCGGGGAAAGTCCATCTGCACAGTTGACGCGGGTCTGAGTTTTATAAACACCCAGGCGGTAGATCTGTTAGGCGAGGTAGGCAGTAGTGGTGTTTGCCACCCCTGGGGGCGTGGGCTTGACCTGCGCGCCCCGAACCCTGGTGGCTGCAGCCCGCGTGAGTGGACGTGGGGGCTTGGGTGGTAGGAGCAGGTGCGATGGGTGCAGCTCTGGCAGCCGCAGGGGGGCGGTGAGGTAGTGAGTGGTGCCTCAGCCGAGAAGAGCTGGCTGGGTCCCCTCCACCTGGGCCACCTCCTGCCCCT